CTCTCTCTCTCTCTCTGCATACACAAACTTCACAGTTATTTTAGGAGTATATCTCCCTCGCCGCCTCTCTCTCTCTCTCTCCATACACAAACTTCACAGTTATTTTAGGAGTATATCTCCCTCGCCGCCTGGGCTTCGGCTTCTCCCTCTCTCTATATATATATACATACGCAAATTATTGAATTTGTTAGGGTTTAGTTTCAACTAACGATTTTGAATCAATGTCGGAGCTTACAGAGGACTTGCTTCTCGATGTGCTGTCAAGGTTACCCGTAATCAGTCTTCTGCGATTCAGATGCGTCTCAAAATCATGGAAGACTACAATTGATAGCTCGTACTTCATCAAATTGCATCTGAATAAATCAATAAAGGACGTCAATTCTCACAAGATTTTGGCTATCGGTAGAGATCCTAGTGCTGTGAATGATGTCATATTCTGTATCGTAAAATTTGATTCTGGATTTGAATTTGAAGGCGTTCAAAGGATCCAGTCTCCTATAGAGAAATTTAAAGAGACGGTGAGATTTATAGGCAGTTGTAGATTTTTGATTTGTTTGAAATATACGTATAGAAAAATTATTTTGTGGAATCCTTCAGTACGTGAGCACAAGATATTGCCATACACTGATGTTGAGATTGAGGCCTCGCGTGGCAGGAAATACACACAATATAGATATAGTTTTGGATTCGGATATGACGACCTTATGGATGATCACAAGGTTGTGAGATTAGTATATGATTATCGAAATTGTGACTATGAAATTAAAGTTTATAGCCTGAAATTGAATATTTGGAAAAAGATTGAAAAGTTTCCGATCCTTATATCTTGGGTGAGTAGGCCTAGTTTTATCAATGGTTCAATGAACTGGCTTGTCTCCCAGACGAAACCAACTACTACTACCTTCAGTACCTTGTCACTTCTGGTCCTCTGTCTAAGAACCGAGGTGTGGCAATTAGTGCCATTGCCTGAATTGTTCGGTAAGTATAGAATGCCTAATTGGGAATATTGTCACTTCTGTTCGGATTTGACTCATTGGATGGTCGGCCATTGTTACTCCCCAGGTCATGGATTATGGAAGATATTGGAACATTTGAAGACTGAACTTTCGACTAAGTTAAGGTCGCTACATTCTGATACTGTTTTCAGTGAAATATATCGGCACCGTAACTGGATACCTTTGCAGGACAAATTACTTTCTGAATCAATAGAAATATGTCGTTGGGGGACGTTTTGCTGGGTTGACAACCTTTTTCGACTCACGAGTAGCTAGTCATTCAGTCGGAGTTCGATGTAATTTTTCAAGCAAGTTTTTTATTTGGTCGATAACTTTTTCTTTGGTTGCATTATGTTTCATCCCTTGGCTTATTTTAGAAATTTTCTTCGTCAACTATACAAATTGTTTATGAACATTATCAAATTATGTCACGCTGCAATTGTTGGGCTATACCCGAGGGGAGCCCATCCAAAAATTCTCGACAGCCCTGGGCAATCCAGGGCCGAAGAGGGGGTTTGGAAATAGTTTTCAATCAGCAATAGACGCGCCTCGGTTAGAACCTCACTAGCTGCGTCATTGCCCCAAGCGCAAAGATGTTTAAAAATGCTCATATCCCTCCTCCTTTATGATCGACGTCTATCTTACGCTTTTAATAGGAATCCGATATGGGACAAAACAAGCGGTCCTCCATTAAGCAAATATTTTTATAATTTATTTATTTATTCCTTTGAGTTTCAGATTTAACGATTAATTTTCTGTTAACATCTGATCTACATAATCTATGAAATTGTGTTCTTACTCTTATTTGAATGCATTTTTATTTTTATTTTTGTTTTATTTTAGTCAACTTTATGAATCAATATAAGATGAGTCGTACATCAAGCAACCTAAATAGGTAACACAGGAAAAATACCTAGCAAATCAAAAGGTACAATTCAACATGCAGAGAAGCAAGCAGGAACAAATTCCAAACAAATCGAATGATAATAATTCATTCTTTCATTTTCATGATCAACAGACCTTATTTTTGTCGTATAATTTGTCCAAAGAACAAAGAAAACTATCTCGTCTCCTTAAAACTCTCACAACGACGTGCTCACATACAAAACCTGGTGTCAAGGACCGTAGCTTTACTTAGCCCCTTGATACTATTGCAGCCACAGTTTGCCCAACTTCGGTCGCACATTGTAAATATTACTTCAAGTTTGAATTGTAATTTTCTTTTCATTCTAATAGTTATTTCAGTTGTAAAATAGCTCTGATGTTAGTAAACGTTTAGTATAATTTCTCTTTTTTAAACATCTACTCCTGTCAATTAGGTTTTTGTTCCAAATGCTATTATAGGGGGGTATTAGTCATTCAAAAAATTTTCAAGCTCACTGGTATCCGCCCCCTACACCAGCAATTGTAATTTGCTGCTTTCGTCAATTGTAATGTTCAGTTTTCATCGATCAATGTTCAATTTACTTTTAATATATTCAAATTCTCTATTGTAAACTTTCTACAAAATTGTAACCAAATTTTCTTTCGTCCCGACGCGATCGAGAAAATGCAGAAAGTAGTCTAGCGGAACAGACTACTGCCGCACGGTGTCCCTTTCGGTGCCAAGAAGAAAGGCACCCCGTGAAAGTTAGTATCAGAGCTGCGGCTCACGACCCTCGATAAGAAAGCTCTAGATCCAATTACATCTCACACCACTGAAGTGGGAGAACCTCAAAAGAAGAGTACTACTAAACAGCTCATGGATGCGCTTGATGAGACAACTACTAGGTTGTGCCATGCCTTGGACGGTCTTAAGGAAAAAATCGAGATGGCAGAATCCGAGATTCGTGGATTACACATCCAACTGGATGAAAGCAAAAGGGCTTGTGCAACAATAACTGAAGCTGTTGCAATCATTCCTGATCTGCAGGATGAAATGGAATCGTTGAGAGCTCAATTGCAGGTACTCCAACGTGCAATGGGCAATGGACAAGCTCCCACACCTGAGTATGCTCCTAGACTCAAAATTCCTGAATCGTGTACCTACGGAGGGATACATGATGCAAAAGAAGTCGAGTATCAGGCTCAACAGGCACTTCGAGACCTGAAACACACAAGCTCTATCAGGGAGTATGTGAAATCCTTTTCAGGGCATATGCTGAATATTCGAGATATGTCGGAAAAGGATAAGCTCTTCACCTTTATGGAAGGGTTGAAATCGTGGACACGCACGAAACTTCAAAAACAAAAAGTTACTGATTTGAGCACGGCCATGGGAGCCGCCGAATGCTTGAGCGACTACCAAATGGAATCTAGAAAAGATCGACCTTCAGAGAGTAATCAAGCAATTGGAGGTGGTAACAGACCTTACAGACCCAGCTCGAACCCAAATGGGGGAGGGCGTTACTCTAAGAATAAAGAAGGAGCCTATCAAAGCACCCGTGGCTTTCAGGGAAACTATCATAATAGCCGCCAAGGAAATTTTAATGGCAGCAACAGTAACAACTGGAACAAAGAAAAAGCAACAGAGGGCCGAATTGATGCCACCCCCAAATTGAAGTACTTTTTATGCGAAGGACCTCATCGGGTGTCGGAGTGTCCTCAGAAGCGGATGGTAAATGCATATTGTCAGCTAGCAAGTGGCGGGTCAAGTTCAAAGCAAGAGGCCCGCAGGCTAATGGTCATAGTGAGACCGACTCCGAAGATGATGATGACGTAGTTGGGGCATTTTCACATCAGTGCAACACACTGTCGCATCGGGTTGCTGAAAAGGATGATGTCCCATTGAAAGAGGCAAAGATGAATGAAGCGAAGGCTCGAATTTGTAGGGCCAAAGGCTTAATGTACATTGATGTAAAAATCAACGAGAAGCCAATCAGGGCTATGGTGGATACTGGTACTATCCACAACTACCTTGCATGTACTGAAGTAGAGCGACTCAGACTTGTTCTGGAAAAGGGTAGTGGAAAAGTTAAAGCAATCAACTCCGCTGCTCAACCAATAGCTGGAGTGGCGAAATCGGTGTTGATCAAAGCAGGTCCTTTCGAGGGAAGGACAAATTTATTTGCAGTTTAGATCGATGATTTCGAGTTTATTCTGGGATTGAAATTTCTTCAAGATACTAAGACAGCAGTGTTGTCATATTTTGATTCGTTAATGATGATGGTTAATAAGCCGTGTGTCATCCCTACATAGGTTGGGAGGATGGGCGAGAAGAGTATCTCAGCCATGCAATTTAGTAAGGGTTTTAAGAGAAATGAACCTTCTTTTTTGTGCACTCTTCGATTAGAGGAGATCGAAGAGGTGAATGGTCCTATTTCAAAACCCGTTAAAAGGCTTATTCAGGAATTTGAGGATATCATGCCAGACGAATTACCAAAGAAATTACCACCAAGAAAGACGATTGATCATGAGATTGAACTTATTCCAGACGCCAAACCTCCCGCCAGGGCACCATACCGTATGTCTCAGCCTGAGCTTGAAGAGCTTAAAAAGCAATTGGGAGAAATGTTGGAGAGTGGAATCATTATGCCTGCGAAGTCGCCATATGGAGCTCCTGTATTATTTTAGAAAAATGCCAATGGTTCTCTTAGAATGTGTTGTTACTATCGAGCTTTGAACAAGATTACTGTAAAGAATAGCTATCCTATCCCACTGGTTGCGGATTGCTTCAATCGATTGGCTCGGGCGAAGTATTACACAAAAATTAATCTTAGGTTCGGAACTGGCAAGTTCAGATCAAGGAGGGAGACGAAACAAAGATTACGGTGGTAACCAGATATGGAGCCTTTGAATTTAAAGTGATGTCTTTGTTTTAACAAACGCTCCAGCAACATTTTGTAGTATGATGAATCAGGTACTTCATGGGTTCTTAGATGATTTTGTCGTGGTGTACTTGGACGACATAGTAATCTACAACGAGACATTGGAGGAATATGTCCAACATGTGAGGCAAGTTTTTAATCGGCTACGGGAGAATGAACTCTATGTCAAGTCGTCTAAATGCTCATTTGCTCAGACATCTATTAGTTTCTTAGGTCACATTATTGAACAAGGTAAAATCCGCATGGATTCGAAGAAGGTTACAGCCATCAAAGATTGGCAACCACCAAAAACCATACATGATGTACGTTCATTTCTTGGGTTATGCAATTACTATCGAAGAATTGTAAAAGGTTACTCAGAAATTACACTGCCACTTACCGAATTGACAAAGAAGGATAAGGATAAGGATTGGGATTGGTCATCCCAATGCCAAACTGCTTTTGAAAGGTTGAAGAAATCCATGTGGACGAACCCGATTTTAGCCTTACCGGATATGACTAAACTATTTGAAGTATATACAGATGCTTCAGATTTTGTACTTGGTAGAGTCCTCATGCAAGAAGGACATCCGGTAATGGTCCAATGTACTTTGGCGTCAATGCTGGAGATCTGGTAATGGTTAAGCTTCCCAACAGAAATGTTTACAAACCAACAAGAGGGAAGGACTCAAGATTGACACCAAAGTACATTGGACCATTACCTTTCATGAAGAGGATTGGAAGAGTTGCATACAGAGTTGAACTTCCTTCATGGTGTAAAATCCACAAGGTCCTTCATGTTAGTGTGTTGAAGTCATACTTTGAGGATAAGGAGGATGCATCTAGAAATGAGCCAAAGCGACTTGTGTTTGAACTGAAGAAAGCTGGAAAGAAAGTTGCTGAAACTATGCTTGACCATCGAATCACTCGAGCTTCTAGAAAAGATCATCAGGAGTACTTGGTCAAATGGATTGGATGCAGCAGCGAGGAGAATACTTGGGAAAGAGAAAAAGATCTCGGAGCCGTCAAACCATTAATTGAAGCATATCATACATTGATGGCATCGAGGATGTCGTCAAAACAAATGGGGGAGAATGTCAAGGACCGCAGCTTTACTTAGCTCCTTAGCACTATCGCAACCGTAGTTTACCCAACTTCGACCGCGCATTGTAAATATTACTTCAAGTTTGAATTGTAATTTTCTTTTCATTGTAATAGTTATTTCAGTTGTAAAATAGCTCTGATATTAGTAAACGTTTAGTATGATTCCTCGTCTTTTAAATGTCTACTCCTGTCACTTAGGTTTTTGTTTCGAATGCTATTATAGGGGGTATTAGTCATTCAAAAATCTTTCAAGCTCACTGGTGTCCGCCCCCTGCACCAGCAATTGTAATTTTCTACTTTCGTCAATTGTAATGTTTAGTTTTCATCAATTAATGTTCAATTTACTTTCAATGTATTCAAATTCTCTATTATAAGCTTTCTACAAAATTGTAATCAAATTTTATTTCGTCCCGACGGGACCGAGAAAAGGCGGAAGGTTGTCTAGCAAAACAAACTACTGCCTCACGGTGTCCCTTTCTATGCCAA